GGGAATCCAAAGCCCTCTTCTGACCTCCATGGCATGGCATGACATGGGTGCACTCACATACATGCAGATAATACACTAATACACATTAAATAAAATATTTTTTTAAAAAGACCCCAAAGAAAAAGTAACCAGTTTCTTAGCTAAAACTCACAATGTCCTTGGGCCTCTTAGCAACTTACTCCATTCCAAAGGCCAAAAATGTCGAAAATATTTGGGAGCTTTTATCTAATCCTTAAAAAATTTTAGTGTTACCTCTTCAGAGGGGGGAATGTTAGAGTAGCCAAAAGCCCCCTAAAAAATAAATCAGGGGCTGGAGAGATGGCTCAGCAGTTAAGAGCACTGACTGCTCTAGCAGAGGACCCAGGTTCAATTCCCAGCACCCACATGGCAGCTATAAACCGTCCTTAACTCCAGTTCCAGGGGAATCTGATGCTCTCTTCTGACCTCTGCCGCACTGCACGACAAGGGTGCACTCACATACATGCAGGCAATACACTCATACACATGAAAATAATATTTTTTAAATCAGTCAATCAAAGAAGAAGAAAGAGTACATGAAATTATCAGAAAAAAAGTGATGGAGAGATATGGGAGGAGTTGGAGGGGAGGGAGTGGGCACCGATTTGATCAAAACACCATATAAGCATGTATGAAATTCTCAATAAATAATTTAAAAATTAAAAAAAAGAAACTACCCCCTGCCTGAGCCTTTATAAACTCAGTGCCCTGACAGCCAGTTTCACATTGCTTCAAGAATCACCTGAGGAGCCTCACTTCTGAAGACAGGCTTGTTTAGATCATGGTGGTAGTGTTCAAAGGCTTCATGCCTTCATCAGCTCAGTTCTATAGCTCTTCCAGTACCACCACATCCTGGAGGAAGGTGGAAGCACGTTATAGAGCTTACATTGCTAGATAGGCAGTCAAAGACTGATATCTCACAACCTCTTTCTGTGTGTGTTTGTGGTGAGGGTGTTCACATGCCCAATGACCTGATGACCTCCTGAGACAGGACAGAAAGATAGGGAAGTTATGATGACATGGGAAGAAAAGCTTGAGGGGAAAAAAAAGAGATCATTCATTCTGGGATCTGGTTTGCCTTTCTGTTGACAAAGGCAGGAAACTTCAGACACCAATGATAAAGCCAAAACAGCCTACTAAGACATCAGACTTCAATAAAAATGTCAAAGACAATAAATTCTGCTTACTTAGGGTCAAAATGATCTATAACTTAGAGGGGTTTTTTGAGTATTCCCTTCTTGCTCCTAAGCCTGAACAATGCCCCTTATATATCTACCTTACTTTTTAAAAAATATTTATTATCTTTATTTATGCATATGAGTGTATTGCCTGTATGTAGGTAGGGGCACTCATGTTGTGCAATGCCACACACACACATACACACAAAAAAATAAATAAATAAAAATGAAAAACAGGAGAAATTAAGGGGACAGGAAAAGGAAAAATAGTCCCTCACTCCAGATTCTAGTTGAAATCTCTCTCTAGCTGAGACTGAATCCCAACATAATGAAGATTGCTTTTTTTGTTTGTTTGTTTGTTTGTTTTTGAGACAGATCTCACTATACAACCCTGGCTGGCCTAGAACTCACTATGTAGACCAGGCTAGCCTAGAACTCACAGAGATCTGCTTGCCTCTGCCTCTTGTGTGCTTGGATTAAAATCATACACCGCCACGCATGGATCCTTTTAAAATAAAGGTTTATTCTTTTTTTGAAGTTTTTTTTAATTTTTAATAACTACATGATTAGAAGAAGCATTTCATTACAGCTTTAACATATTCAGTAACACGCTCCAGAGCAAGTGTACATCTCTTTTACAAGTGGCTGTAAGTTTTTAGGTTCACAATTGAATTAATACAGTTATACAATATTGAACTCAGTATAAGCCCTGTAAGACATAAAATTGAAT